ATAATTTTTTATATATTAATAATTTATAAATCAAAAAAAATATTCATTAGGACAAAATTAAAATGAATATATATATATATATATATATATTATAAAAACACGTTAACATTATTTTATTATGATCAATCAAACATAATATTAAGAGGTTGTTTTACGATTAAGTCATTATATGAATAAAATTGTCTGCATTAATTAATATATATGTATAGATTAAGATTTTTTTTTCATAACTGAGATGAATGTGTTTTTTCTATATAAAATTATCTCTCGTTAAAAATTTATTAAATAATTACTAGAAGAGTAATCGCGCAATGCAGCGAGACACATCTCGATTTTAATGTTTTATTTTATTATTTGTCTTTGTCGATGTTATAATACTATTTCATGTGTTTTTAAGAAAACAACAATGATTTTATTTTTGAATAAAATATAAATTTTAAAAAAATATATCAATGTTAATGTCAAATTATAAAAGTTCTCATTTTTATGTAATTTCGTTAACTTATTTTTTTATTATAATTTAATTTAAGTTTAATAACAAAATAGTTTATTTTTGGTTTAATAATATAACATTTTATAAAGATAATAATTAAGTATTCTATTATAACTCAATAATTATTCTAATTATATTTTGAATTTTTTATAGGGAAAATTGCACCAAAATGGAACCAACTTTCACATGATTTCTATTTTGGGGAACGAACTTTTAAAATCGTCATTTTGGGGAACCAACTTTCACCTAATTCCTATTTTGGGGAACCAACTTTCAAAATTGCATCAAAATGGTACCAACTTTCATCTAATTCCTATTTTGGGGAACCAACTTTCAAAATCGTCATTTTGGAGAACCAACTTGCACCTAATTCCTATTTTGGGGAACCAACTTGCAAAATAATTATAGAAAAATAGGAAAATTACACCAAAATAGAACCAACTTTCACCTGATTTCTATTTTGGGGAACCAACTTTTAAAATCGTCATTTAGGGGTWTCTATCGAACTTTTTGTTTATTTAAGGGTCTGATTGATCTGTTGAACATGTAACAGATAATTTAAGGGTCTCTATCAAACTTTTGGTTGGATTTGCCAAATTTGATTTAAACTTTAATATTGACACATATTGGTTAGATATAAAAATCTTGAATGT